CCCACCCAACCTCCCAGGCATCTGAGAGCAAAGCTTGGGGAAGCACCACCCACCAAACCCTCCTGGGGTCTCTCGATGACCAAACTGTCCCCACCATAAACACAGCACCAAACTAATTTAGGGGTGGAGTGAAAGGGTACATTCCCCGAGAATTTCCCAAAGGGAAGAAAGTTATAACAGACAGAAACATGCTGGAGTCACCAAAAATAGACAAAATTACCTAAACAAATTGTGATTGGCACAATTCTGTTCTACCACAGTAGAAAAACTGCAAGTTTTTCATCCAGATAGAAAATAAAAACAAAGAAAAACTGATCAGCACTCTGGTATTAATCAACTCATGATGATAATTTAAATACACCGTGCTCCACCTACCTGATGATCTGGCCCCCAGCCCCCAGTCCCCAGCAGGAACTTGTTCTCTTCTAGGCTTCTGTTAACTTTGCATTTCCTGTATCTTGGGGGTTCAAGAAGCAAAACTGTCATTCTCTTTGACCTCCTGATTTCTGACCCTGAGCTTCCATCTGGGCCTTCTAGGGTTCTCCTCACTTCCTCATGCAGTGCATCAGGTCACCCAGTATCCATCTTCAAAGGTCCTCCCTGTCCCACGGCTGCTCTGGGTCCATCAGGTTCTCTGCATACTCAAGGCCTAAGCATCTTTTGCAAGATGGTCCTGACTGCCTAGAAGCACCAACATCCATCACTCTCTGAGGACCTAACTCCCCAGGGACACACTAGGAAGCAGGGCTCATGTTCCATCTGCCCCTAGCATTCTCAGATGTCTCTCTCTTCTCTTCATCTTTCTTCTCACAACCCAGGGGATTTTTTTTTCTTTTTGGCCTAGGGAAAATTCTTTCCCTCCAAATTTCTTCAAGACACGTAGTCTCTTGGCCCCAAACCCCCTGCCTCCTTACCAAAACTTAAAAATGTTTAAAAAAAATTTTTTTAAATCCCTTTTTGTAAAACAAAAGCTAGAAAAATTTCTTGGCTGTTTTCGACCTCGTCACATGCTTCCACTAAGGCAACAAGCAGAGGGCCAACTGCCTGCTTGCATGGAGACAGGGCGTGAGAGAAACAAGTGCATATCTCAAATGTCATCCAGTCACATGATAAACACATTTTCACTCTCCTTTCCATCACCCAAGATTTTTGCTGTGGTCAGGTCAGTTGTGGTTTCTTTCTTGGTAAATGATATTGTGTGAAAGAAATGTCAGGATAAGTTTCTCTTTTGTCTCTCTTAACAGACCCTTAGTACCTGTACTTCTCTAGTAGCCTCTGTCCACTTCTCTCCCTCTCTGCATTCCCTCCTCTCTCTCTCATTGCTGCCTCTTCTCAGCCCAGCTCGCACATTCTGAGTGAAGCTGGCCGGAAGGAAGTCGCCATTGCCCTGCAGTCAACAGAAGCAACAGTGCCTGAGGCTCAGGTGGCCCCCCACATCCCCCAAAATGTTTTTTGTATGCGTGTGTGAGGAAGATCAGCCCTGAGCTAACATCCATGCCAATCCTCCTCTTTTTGCTGAGGAAAACCAGCCCTGAGCTAACATCTATTGCCAATCCTCCTCCTTTTTTCCCCCTTTTTCTCCCCAAGGCCCCAGTAGATAGTTGTATGTCATAGTTGCACATCCTTCTAGTTGCTGTATGTGGGATGCAGCCTCAGCATGGCCGGAGAAGCCGTGTGTCGGTGAGCGCCCGGGATCCAAACCTGGGCCGCCAGCAGCGGAGCGCGCGCACTTAACCACTAACCAGCCCCCCACTAAAATGTTTTCGCCTACAATGCCCATGTCCTCACCCCTGCACCTGCCCCAAGTCACTACATCATCTGAGCACTTTCTCATTTCCCCATCCCAAAATGCCCTCTTCAGCTTTCACCGTACTTAGCCTCCCTCTATAAAAGACGGCGACTCCCTCTTCCTTAAAATTCTTCTCATTCTTAGATCTGGCTTGAGCAGCAACTATGCTCACCTGATCTTCCTCCTCCTCCACTGCCACAGCCGCCCTTAGGATCCAATCTTTCCATCTGCTCTTTAATTGCTAATGCTCCCCAAGGTTCCATCCTTGGCCCTCTTCTCACTCTACACGCCCTCACTGAATCATCGCAACCTCTCCCAGTGCTGCAACGCCTACCAAAACCTCAAAAATTCCCCAAACATTCCCTTTCCCTCCCCTTTTCCTCTCTCTTCCCAATTTCAGACACTTATTTGCAACTGCCTGTTGACTTTTTAGTCGGGAAAACAAAAAGCCAGAGAGAGGCTAAGATCGCTAATTTCCTATATTTGAAAAAGTGTCAGGACCACAGAGCAGACCAAGAGCAAATGGGTAGATTTTAACTCAATACAGGGAAAATTTTCTAACAAATAGCACTAGCTGGCAATAAATGGGCTCCTTCTGAGTAGTGAGTTCCCCGTGACTGGAGGTGGGCAGAGAGGATTCCTGCACATAGCAACTGAGTAACATCCATGTTCTCTCTCTATTCTGAGATTGATACTTCTCAGCTCAGCACTCAGAGATTCGGATATATAGGGGGTTTTTTCTCATTTCGTTGAGTACCTAAAATTACAATTCTTCATTATAGGACGCTGGTTAGAAATCGTGTGATTTCCTTGTGATATTTCCTTTTTATTTAATTATTTTTTAAATAACCATGATTTGTTGTTTATCAAATAATTTGCATTACAAACTCACTTGTCTTGGCATATAGACACTCTAGTTTTTAGAGAGCAAAATTTACCTGGTCATTGATTGAAGCCTTTCAGATTAAAGCACGGTTGCAAAGCTCACTGCTTCTGGACCATTCTCTCTGTTCTATTCCTATACACTGTCTTAAAAAATAAGTTAATAGAAAAGGAATCCTAACTAAATCCGAATCTGATTGAAGACAGAGACTTTTTACAGGTTCTTCAAATACCTCGTTCTTCCTTCACCACCAGCCTGGGATGTTATCAGTCAACCCTAAATACAACTGGGGCAAATACAGCACCATTACTGCAGATCATTGAATTTGTGCCAATATAATTGAACATTTTCACGCTGGGCTCCATGCTGTGAACCACGGATGCTGAGGACTAAGCCATGGTCCTGCCCTCAAAGAGGGAGGCAGACCCATAAAGCAGTGATCGCAGCAGAGTGAGCAGGTGTTGTGATGTTTGTCAGAACAGGGAAGACGAGGTGGGGGGGGGGGGTAACTCTGTTTTAGAATAACATCGTCTTTATTTTAAATACCTAATTGCAAAATCTATATTAAAATAACAATATAACAGCAAATTGCCTACACCTTCATCATCTAATCAAACTGTTTCCATTTGTCCATCTTAATCCTGATCACTTGCATAGGCAATTTTTTCATATTTGTAATATTATCCGAGTAGTTTTATAGTCTATATTTTCACTTATCACGAGTATTTCTCCATTTCACTACTTTTTCCCCTCACCCCCACCTCACCCCCTTGAGATAACCAATGTTCGCAGCCTGCAGAGTTATCCTTCTACAACTTTCTCTAGGCTTGAATCATCCTATGGGGGCACCAGAACAATATTTAAGTCAGAACAATTGACTACCCCCTCTTCTTGTTCTCCCTACGTACCCAACTTGCAGCCACAAAAGCCATTCTAATGTCTTTGTCTTTAAGAGAATATTGTTTTCTCCGTCCTCGCTCCAGTACATCCTATTTCCCTCCCACTTGCTTTGCTGGAAATAACCAGAGGGAGGAACCCCAAAGAATAACTCCTAAAAAGCAAGGATCCTAGATTTCACTGTTCCACAGATCACAGCAGCAGCAGCCTGTGAGTATTCTTGCTTAGGTACTCATGCACATGTGCTCTCCATACTGTTTGTTCTGCCCTCCCTCCCACGGGTACTGTCCCCACCTCATGACTTGTGCTTTTACTCACAGTTCCAGCTGCCTCCTAACTGCCCCTTACACGTGGCCGACATAACACCACCTTTCCATTCAGCAATTCTGCCATCCTCCTCAAGCCCCCATTTCTTGGCTGTTTCTCAAGTTCACCTCATCACACCAGGCATCCTCATTTTCACACTAGTCTCATCAGCCATGGCACTGGGAGGAGGAAAGAGCGAGCAGTGGGGTGATATGGTCTATGACGGTCCCCTCAGCAAGGACAGTGGAAGGGACATTTTTTCTCCCTAAGACAACGTTGGCCATGAGGCCCCTCAGAGGCAAAGCCACTGCCTTCCCTCATATGGTTCTGTCTTGTTCACACACTTGGTGGGGCCTCTGAAAAAGTTTCAATGGTTAAATGTTCATTTAACTGCTCTGGAGTTGACTCAGATTTCAGATCTGCAACTTTTCCTTGATTCAGCTTCAACAAAGAGGGGAGGAGGTGAGAAGCAATCCCTCAGCCTGACAGAGACAAAGGTGACTTAGTTTGGTGCATCACAGACCCGCCGAGGCATGGCCCCCAGATCCCGCCTCTGGGCTCTCACTCACAAAGGGGCAACCCAGAGAACAGACCTCAGAGTCACGTGTGGGTCTAGGTCCCAGTTCTGCTATTTCCCGGCTGTGTGATCCTGGAAAGGCCAAAACATTTTGAGTCTTATTTTCCTCATCTCTAAAATGAGGTAAACGACAACAACAAAAAGTAGTGACTTCATATAAGCAACTGTAAGGATTAAAACATTAAATGGAAAATAGAGTTTAAAATCCTTTCATGCCATTGGGGGTTATAAAGTTGCTGGTTTAATTAATTTGCCATTTAGTTTTCCAGCCTACAGAAAGTCCTTGTTAACTAAGTAAATGTTCAATTTTCCATCAACAGGAATAGAAATCAGCCACAAAGTCACCAACGTCTTTTGGACTCCAATCCCTGGCCAATAGTGCCAGGTCTATAGAAGCAAAACTAAAAAATCATTTTCTCTCGCAGAGCAGTTTTAAGTCTCCAAGTATCTCAATCCTTAAAATGCAAGTCAGGGGCTTTAAATGAAGGCGTAAGGCTTTGTTTAGAAGTATCTAATTAAAAGGGGAAAAAAAGGAGACAAAAGCATATTGATTTTTTTCTACATTTATTTATAAAGAACACAACTTCTCCTGACACAGACACAAACACTCACACATTCCAAGGAGGAGCTCATTAAAAACAACAACAACAACAGAACTGGGTGACAGTGGGACCTTACTTAACACCAGTCTGCGTGCCCGACTCGGGGATCACTGGGAATGTTTCCTCAGATCCGGCATCTCGCCTCAAAGAAAGCAGACCTCGATCTGGAGGGCCGGCCAGCCACCCACCACCAGGCAAAAGGCTGCATACTCAGTCCTCGGCATCATCAAACTGTCCCGTTTCAAAGACCATCTTGGAATAATGGGGTATCAGAGGAGGCGGATGGTGCCAACTGGGGTCATAGATCATGTCTCCTTGCGCGGCACAGCACACCCAAGGTTTGACCTCTTGAGAAATGCAACCCTGGATGTCGTCGGCATCTGCAGGCAGTTTTAAAAGACAGATTAAAGGAAGGAAAGAAGGGAAGTGAACACGGATAGTCAAAAAATGTCTAGGGGGCAGACACTTATACTTTCTTTGTTTAAAAACACCCATATGTGCACAAGTGGACACACACACATACATAGTCTTCCCTTCCTGAAGAATTGCAAGCATGTTCATTCTAGGGCGACCCATAGTGCTTCTCAGAAAAGAGTTCTTAGCAGTGCAGAGGAAGCAACTAGATAACAGAGCACTTCTGTCTGCAGCTGCTCAATTCACACAAAGATATTTGGAGAGAGTAACACTGTTTCAATGTTAAAACTAACCAATATATTATGGAGTCAAATACAAAATTTGCATTTTTTTTTTCCAATATGAAAGAGAAGCTGTCACAGAAATTTCAGACCCATAACAGACATCAAGCTAAGCTCACGGATGTGGGTTCCTCTTCCAAACTGTCTGCCTTTAGGGGTAATCTGGTAAGAGGGTCTCAGAACCCTGGCCGAGGACCCCAGAAACTCTACACCTACCATATGGATTCCCTTGATCTGCTTTCAATTCCAAGTCCCAGTCCTCATTAAAAAGATCAGCAGCCTGTTCCTTGGCTGGACAGCCAGACATTCCTTCTGACAGCTCCCAGGTATTCAGTTCCCCGTCAGAATCCTCATCATCCACAGCAAAGCCATCCTCTTCAGACTGGGTGCCCTCATCACGGGTAGGACTGTCATTAGGGATACTCTGTGCTCCACTGGCTAAGAAATTGACAAAAGGAAGGTCTTAAAACAACTGGTAAACCAGATAGGACCTACTCGTGGGCTTGGAAAATTCCGGGCAGACTTATTAAGAGGACAGCAGTAAAACAAATGTACAGAATTCTTTAGCCACCTGACCACTCAAAAATAATGTTGTTCTGTTTGCATTTTTAGAAGTAAGGTTGATCATTTCTTTTCAATAAGACATTTTGCCTTAAACAAGGCCATTCATTGCCAGGTCTTGTAATTCACATAGAGCCAGGCACAGTGTGTATTTTCAGGTAGTTTACAAGTCATTGAGGCAAACGGCCTCTGGCAGACGATAAGCTTTCCCAATATGAGCTCGATTTGAATTTTTGCTCTTCTATTCCTCCCTTCACCCTCAAAGAGCATGCAGAGGTGAGGACAAGGGGTAAGAGGAGGAAAGCAGGCACAAGGACAGAACTGGTCTAGTCACAATGGACAGCCACGACACCTCCCGACAACAGGAAGGTACAGTTCCAAAAGATCTCAAAATAATGAAAGAAACTCTGGGGAAGGTTCATGGGCCTCCAAGCATACAGTGCTATGGTGATGCCAGGTCAGAGGTGCGAAGAGAGTCAGCCCAAAACCAGCAATGCTATTAACACTGTAATACTAGTAACAGCTATAAGCAATACAGTAATAATTCAAGGCATGGGTTCCGGAGCTCAACTGCCTGGGTTCAGATCCCAGTTCTGCCAATTACTAATGTGTAACTGAGCTGAAATTTACTCAACCGATTCCTCAATAACTTAAACATAGAATTACCATACAACCTAGCAATTCCTCTCCTAAATGTATACCCAAAAGAATTGAAAACAGGTATTCAAACAACACATTTCAAGAACATTTACAGCAGCACTATTCACAATCACCAAAGGGTGGAAACAGTCCAAATGTCCATCAGCCAATGAATAGGGAAACAAAATGTAGTATATCCATATAATGGAATTTTTGAGCCATAAAAAAAATGAAGTACTGATACATGCTGCATGAATGAACCTTGAAAAAATTATGCTGAGTGAAAGAAGCCAGACATAATAGCCCACATAGTGTATGATTCCATTTGTAAACAACTCGCATTTGCCTGTCCAGAATAGGTAAATCCATAGAGACAGAAAGCAGATTAGTGGTAGCCAGGGGCTCAAAGAAGGGGAACGGGATGTGACTACTTAATGGGTACAGTGTTTCCCTTTGGGGTGATGAAATGTTCTGGAATTAAATAGTCGTGGTGGTTGCACACATTGTGATTGTGCTAAATTGAATTAAAGTGTACACTGAATTGTACACTTTAAAATTCTTAAATGGGGCCAGCCCCGTGGCTTAGCGGTTAAGTGTGCGCGCTCCGCTGCTGGCGGCCCAGGTTCGGATCCCGGGCGTGCGCTGACGCACCGCTTTTCAGGCCATGCTGAGGCTGAGTCCCACATACGGCAACTGGAAGGATGTGCAACTATGACCTACAACTATCTACTGGGGCTTTGGGGGAAATAAATAAATAAATAAATTGTTAAAAAAATAAATAAATAAAATTCTTAAATGGTAAATTTTATGTTGTTTTTATCACAATTTAAAAAAATTTTTTATTCTGTGCCTCAGTTTCCTCATTTGTAAAATGCAGATAGGATTGTTGTGAGGTGGAAAAGAAAAAGAAACACTTAGAATTGTGCCTGGCACACAGTGAGTCCTCAGTAAGTGTTAGTTGCTGTGGCTGTATCTATTTCTGTGCTTGGTGCTTTATCTAGATGAGTACATCCAACAGAACTTTCTGTAATGATGGGAACGTTCTATAATCTGTGCTGTCCAACAGGGTAGCATTAGCCACGTGTGGCTACTGAGCACTTGAAATGTGGCTAGTGCAACTAAGAAACTGAATGTTCCAATTTAGTTAGTTATAATTAACTTAACTTTAAACAGCACCAGTAGCTAGTGACTGTTACAGTTCTGGATCCTCTCACCTAATCCTCAAAACAACCCTCTGAGGTAAGTATTATCTCCATTTTAAAGATGAAGAAAGAAAGGATAAGTGACTTATCTAAGGTCACAAAACTTGAGCCCAGGACTCTGACCTGGGCCTGAAAGTGAAAACAATTTTGCCTGGCTCCAAAGCTGATACTCTTTCTGTTGTCCTAAGCTGTCTTTCTCAGCAGAAGGGATGGGTTGGGACACAAGTCCAGGACATTCCTTCAGGAAGCTCTAGTAGGGCTTCCAAATGAGGGCACTGTTGAAATACTAGGCAGAAAGGGCAACTCTGCAGCAAAGATGAGAACTGGCTAGAAAGAGAAGGTAAACAAGACAGAGAGGCTGTCCTTCTCGTCGCCTCTTTGGTCTCTGCCGTCTACTTGCCTAGTCGATCCATGGCCTTCTCGGTCTCTCTCTCCTGACTGGAGTGCTCCGCTGGGGCAAAGCCCGCCTGTGGGAAGAAGAAACAATTTCCCAGGACTTGGCTATCTGGGGTATCTCAGCCCCAAATCCACCCTTCCATACTCTCCTTTGTGAGGCTGGGGCTGGGACTGTGCAACCCACATTTCTGCTCTGCCCTGGAGGGAGAAGGGCCTTGCTCCTTCTCATTCTATAGGCATCACCACAGCGACACTTCTTCACCCCTGCCTCTTCACCCCTGGAGGCTGGAGCACCTGCCTACAGCGGCCGCTGAATCGAGTTTACAGTTGCCAACACTTGCAGAACCAGCCTCATCACTGGGCCCTCTCTTCAGAGGTCTGAGTCCCAGGCCCCTGAGACCCCTCCTCCAAGCTCCGAGACTTCAGCACTAGCTAGGGCAGCCCCCGCTCCTTAGAAGTTGGAATTTCAGTTCTGCAAAGGCTCTCCTCTGAGCTTGTAAATTTTAATCATTCCAATCTCATCCCTTTGCTCCCTCAGCCCTAGGGCTGGTAGCTGTTTCCTGCAGTTGCTACCTCCATGTTCGTTTTACCTTTTCAGTTAACTTTTTATCTAGTGAACAGCTCTATCAAATTCTCTGTCTCCTGATTGATACATGGGGGCACAGAGCTGTAGCTCTTCTGCAGTGCTGAAGGGAAACATTCCCCCACAACCAACCATATGCTTCTCTGCTCCCATCACTCAACAGTTCCCAAAATCCTATCACCTCCAAGACCTCCTTCTAAAGGGAACGAGAAATGTTCACAGCCTGCATGACAAGAGATGATTTCCATCCCAGCTCTGCCATTCACTCCGAGTGTGACCTCAGACACATCATTTCATCCACCTGCCTGGGTTTCCTTCTCTGGTATTTGAGATGATTGTTCTGAACTTGCAGGGCTTATGATGAAATAATATTTATGAAAACACCTAGCACGTAGCAGAAACGTAACATTTGTTGAAATCCACCTTCTCTGCCCCTACATCTAAACTGCACTTGGCACCTCCCCCAATTAGCTCACGATCTTGTCATCCCCAGCATTAATGAGCCAATTCCACCTCCAGTAATCAGGGACAACCCTCAATGACTACTGCAGGCCAGCTGACGGGACCTCTCATGTGGACCACTGCCATAGCCCCCTAACTGCCTCCCCACTCGCCCATCCTGAGCAGCCTTACTTAGTGTTAATCACTACTCTGCTCAAAAACCTTCAACAGCCCTCCACTGCCAGAGCACAGAATTAGCCATGGCATTCCCATCTCCCTCTCCCCTCACGCCCCATCAACCTGTGGAGCATAGTTCTCTCTCTGGCTCTGCCACCCATGCGCCCAACCATTTGCCCTGCACTTCCTCACCTCTTCCCCTCTCCAGGCACCGCCACCCTCTCCCCTTGGAGAGGAAGCACACACCCTCTCCTGCCATGCCATAGGACAAAATCAGTCTCATCCTATCTGCACTCCAAAGTAATTTTCTTTTAAGTCTACCACTACATTTTTCATATTTTACTCCGGTGAAGTATTCTTTGATGCCTTAACAGCCATTCCATCCCTCCATTGAATTAACAGGCGTGTCTGTCTCGCCAGGCACTATGCTAGGCGCTGGGTTAACAGCACTAAACTGAGGGCTCCTTCCCTCGAGGAGTTCACCATCTAGCAGAGATTATTGACTGTAAACAATGGCAGGTGATGACTGCAATAACGGTCTTTGAAAAACCAGGAGCTGTCTGGCGCGCAAATGAAAACAAGTTTCTGGAAAGCCTGCGTCAAACCAGGCCTTTTGGTTTCAGTAAACAGAAAAGGAGAGGGCGCATGAGACATCATCTGGTGCTCAGGCTGAGCTGAGCATCCCCACCAATGGATACAGGTCCCCTCTCCTCGCCACCCTCACCTGGCCCCTGTCCAGGCCCCCAGCAGCGACCCCCGGCTCTCGGTCATCAGCATCACCTCCCATTTAGCAAGTACGCAGAGGCGCCCCCGGGAGCCGACAGCCTTCCCTCCGTGCCCAGCGCGCCCACCCACGCCCTCGGGTGCCCCGCCCCGCCGCCCAAAGGCCCCTCGGCCCGGCCGTTTCCAGCTCGAGCGCGCGCCCAAACGGCGCTCCACGTTCGCGGGGCGGCCCAAGGCGCTTCCCCGGCTCCGCGACCCCC